CCTTTTTTTCCCCATTGATCCCCTCCCCGCCCCAGGCCTTCACCACACTATTGTCTCTGTCCATGGGTTATGCATATATGCATATAAGTTCTTTGATGAATCTCCCCCCCACCTACTCCCCCACCCCCACCTTCTCACTGAGATTCATTAGTCTGTTCCATGCTTCCATGTCTCTGGATCTATTTTGTTCTTCAGTCTATTTTGTTTATTGGATTCCACATATGAGCGAGATCATGTAAAACTGAATCAGGAAGAAACAGAAAACCTGAATAGGCCAATAACAACTGATGAAACTGAAGCAGTAATTAAAAAAACTCCCAGCAAACAAAAGCCCTGGTCTGGATGGTTTCACAGGGGAGCTTTATGTTGTAGGATTAGATAGTTTACTAAAAATTTTTCTTGCCTTTTGAGATAGGCCTGCATTGCCATGAACTTTCCTCTTAGGACTGCTTTTGCTGTGTCCCATAGATTTTGGGTTGTTGTGTGTTCATTTTCATTTGTTTCCAGGAAGGTTTTTATTTCTTTCTTGATCTTATTGAAACCCATTCATTGTTTAATAATATGCTATTTAGCATCCATGTGTTTGAATGTTTTTGAGTATTTTTACTGTAGTTGATTTCTAATTTCATGCCCTTGTGATTTGAGATGCTTGATATCATTTCAATCTCCTTGAACTTGTAGAGACCTAATATGTGGTCTATCTTTGAGAATGACCCATGTGCACTTGAGAGGAATGTATACTCTGCAGCTTTGGGGTGACATGTCCTATAAATATCAATTAAATCCATCTGATCTAGTGTGCCATTTAGTCACTGTTTCTGTGTTGACTTTTTGTCTGGAAGATCTATCCAGTGAAGTCAGTGGGGTGCTAAAGTCTCCAACCAAGACTGTATTGCTATTGATCTCTCCCTTAAAATTATTATTGATAGGTCCTTATTTATTGCCATTTTAATTCTTTATGCCTATGTTTCTCTCTCTATTTCTACGTCTAATTACAGCAGTTCCTTTAACATTTCCTGCAATGCTGGGTTGGTGGTGATAAACTCCTTTAGCCTTTCTTTGTCTGGGAGGCTCTTTATTTCACCATCTGTTTTGAATGATAGTTTTGCTGGATAGAGNTTTTTTTTTTTTTTTTTGGTCTGGGAAGCTCTTTATTTCACTATCTATTATGAATGATAGCCTTGCTGGATAGTCTTGGTTTCAGATCTTTGTTNTGGTTTCAGATCCTTGTTTTGCATTACCTTGAATACTTCATGCCATTCCCTTCTGGCCTGTAGAGTTTCTGATGAGAAGTCAGCTGACAGCCTCATGGGAGCTCCTTTGTAGGTGACAGATTGCTTTTCCTTGCTGCCTTTAATATCCTTTGTCTTGCCCGGCCGGGCCTGGCTCAGGGGTTGAGCACTGGCCTAGGATCCAGGAGATTGTGGTTCGATTCCTGGTCAGGGCACATGCCCGGGTTGCCAGTTCGGGGCCTGCAGGAGGCAGCCGATCAATGACGACTCTCTCATCATTGATGTTTCTCTCTCTCTCTCTCCCTCTCCCTTCTTCTCCCTGAAATCAAT